TGTAACGATTCAAAGCAACTGGCAAGCGACTGAAAATGCTACTGCGCATGTCGATTATAAAGTTATGTCTACCGCCGATAATAATTTAGCCTGGTTTGTAAAATGTACTGGTGTTTTTTTTTAACCATTGGATGCACTTCTTTTCAAGGCTACTTTTGCAAAGTAAAGAGGGAGGCTTCTCAGAGTTGATCGAGAAATTTCCAAAAGGGGGGAGTTGCTGGAAGGGGGACCGAAAGTTGGGCCGATTAAGACAACACTGTCGTAGGGGGTCCAGGGGGCATGCCCTCGTGAAATTTTTGTGTTCTAGACGCCGAAACATAGCATTTGAGGCATTCTGGGCTATCATTTTTTTCTTTTTCTCTCTTTTTAACTACCTAAATCATATACAGTATGTTCCTTTTTATGATGATGAAATAATAAAATGCTTACAAACCCCCTTTTAAATATATCCCTATCCCACTACTTTGAATCAGATTATTTACGCAGATTCAAGTTTATAAGAAAAATTAAATGTATACAAGAATAATCCATCTGACTCTAATTCATTCTGACTCATGACTTATTCATTTAATGGATGAATGCCCATAGGTGTATTTATAATATACACTCTGTTGTGTGCTTGTTAGGTTTTTTTATACAGAAAAAATATACATATATATATATAGGTACTAAAGAAAGAATAAACAAACTTGCAAATATCAAAATTTATGAAAATTCATGTTCATCTGTTTTGACTATTTTGACTATAATTGTCTGATCTTTTATCAGAGATTCCTCTCCTTTTAGTGTTAAACAGTCTGCTGCCCTCAAGTCTGTTACAGTCCCTATAGCACATTGTCTCAATGAAGTCATTTGCCGTTTGTTTATGAAGTAGTAAATTTCTCCATTATCATCTGGCTCTGTTTTTGGTAATTCATTGATTCTGTCCCTGAGTGCTGTAATTACTGTTTCACTGCATTGCAGTGCCTTCATCACTCTTCAATAATTGATTAAGAAAAGACAGTTTTGTTTTTATATCGGATAATATTGCTTTAAATTCATCCATTTGTACATCATTTACCTTCTTTTTTTCTTTTGTAGATTGTCTCTACTTCATTTTTCATTTTGTCTCTATTCTCTTTTACTTTTTTTCAATATTTCTTCTACATGATTGTCTATATCTATTAAACATGTGTCTTTATTTTGTTGTAATTTTGTAGCATTGTGGATAACAGCTTTGAGAACACCTTCTAATTTGTTTATGAAGCGTTGGGCAGATTTTTCTAAGGTGGCTGAAGTTTCTTTAAATGTTTGGAATGCGTCTGAAATGTTTGATAGTTTCTAATAAGTTATTTAGAAAGGTATTTGGTGGAAGCTTCTCAAGCCCTCTTTTTGGAATGGGATATGATTTTGAGCAAGTTGGGCAAGTCAGCTGACCCTTCTCCTTAACCCAATCTTCCAGGCATCCCAAACAGAAACTATGGAGGCAGTTGAGGAATTTTGGATTTTGAAGTCTCTTAAAGCAGATGGTACACTCATCAACCTTCTCATCAACATGTTCCAGAAACTGATTCAACTTACTGGTAGCCATCTTGAATTGATTTCCCGTGAAATTTAAATAATAGGTAATATAATTATTATCATTTGAACTGGATAAATAATAAGGTCATGCAATCTGATGATCCTATAGAAAATAATGGCTTCTATCTCCTATTTTGTATAGGGTCTGATAGTCTTTAAGAGGATCATACAACAAGCAGAGTACTGCAGAGTAGAACAGAACAAGAGGTGAGGAAATAACTAGAATAGAAGATTACACTGAATTTTTTACATTACATTCAGTTTTTTTTATAATTTTTTTTTCTTTGAAATGCATTTATTTAATTTGTTTATTTATAATGTATTTTAATATCAAGTCAGTTGTAGTGTTGTACCAACATAAAATCAAAAGCAATATGAAAATTTCTGGCCGTATTTAAAATTATAACAATAGTTATAAACCTCGTTTATTTGCGCTATATAAATCCATCTATTATTATTATTATTATTAACATTTTTTTTCATTTTTTGAGCAAGAAGAAACTTCCTTTGTCTCAATATAATTATAATAATAAATTGTAAAGAGTATCTGGAACACCAAATAGATGACTTGTTAAACTCTTTTTTTTTCTATTTTGTTGATATCAGAACACAGATGAGGAGGAGGCGGAGCTTAGTATTTACTTT